CGGGCAACTTTTAAATCATCTTTAAAGACCCACCTTTTTAGCTTGGCTTTCGACACCATATGAAGTTTTGGATTTCTATAAGAGTTTACTGTTTTATTTTCGTGTGCTTTTAACTTTTATACTGTATCCTATTTTATTCTGTTTTATGCTTTTATGTTTTCATGTTCTGCACTTTGGTCAGTGAGGGCTGTTTTTAAAGTGCTTTATAAATAAAGTTGGCTTGGCTATTATTATTACTATTATTATTAGTAGTGGTAGTAGTAGTAGTAGTGGTGGTAGTATTATTTGCAACGTCCAGCAATGGTCAGTTTTTAGGTGCAGTTTGACCATTCAACATCTGGTCAAAAAGGAGACACGAGACTGCATGTGTCCCCTTTAAATCTGCCTGCCTTCATCCCACCAGCTGGAGCTCAGAGCCTGCAGCTGAACACAGATAACGACATGTCAACAATAACATTCTCTCCTCAAGGTCCAATCTTTCAGGATTCTTCATGCCTCCATGTAAGGAACACTCGCAGCTCGGATCAGTTGCTAAATCAAAGAATGACTTCCTAAATCAGATATGAACTTCTACAACTTATAAGCTAGATAATCATTAAATAAATGTTTGTTTATGGCCACTTATAATAATTATAATATAATGAAATGTTTCATTAATCTGTGCTCAATGATTGAAGTTTGAAATGAATGTTATGTCATGATTACAGTGATTGAAATATGTTTCAGCGTGTTTACGTGACGAGGTCTTCGCCATTTGCACTCACACAAGAACAAAGTAAGGTTAAGTTAAACTCGTGACACATAAATAGCCTTTACTCCAGTCAGAGCGTCCGGTATCAAAGAAGGCGTGTTTCTGAGGTTGTCTTGGTAATATTCCTCAAACTTGTCAACCTCTGGTTGGCTACACAAATCATAACATGAGATCCTTAAAACTGGACCACTCTGGTGATTCAGCAGTTCTAGAGAAAGTTTCAGACCGGCCACCTGAAGCAAAACCTCTTTAACACTCAAAGCTTTTGACACGTCATCTAAATATTTTTGCACCTGCAAAGCTGATACAGAAACAGTTCCTGCAGAACAAGCTGATATTGTTCCGACTCCTTAAAGAGTCCCAGATGCGCGGTTCCACCCATCAGTTGTGACCCGAGACATCTCTGGACTGATGAGTCGTGCCACGGTATTCTACAGCCCTTCGGTACCAGAGGTCATCTGACTTCTCTGACCTTCGGATTCACCGAGAGGGTCTCCAGAACGGGTGAAGTAGACACACAGATAGCTTCTGATGTGTTTTGATAATAATCGACTTCATAGCTTAACGCAACCCAAATTATTTTACATCCAGAACTCAGCTCTCCTAGACACGGAAGCTCTGACTAACATCGCATTCACACATAGGTTCATACATCATATCTAGTTCCATCATCACAGTAAATGTTGGTTAACTTGTCATGTTTTAGTTGTTGGTAAAATAAAGTCTTACTTTTTTAAACCTGACTCTATTCTGAATCAAACCGAAGTGTTTACAATCCCCTAATAAATGAAGAATCCTAGAATCTTCTGATTAACACAGTAAAGACCAAGCAGGGTGTCACGGTCTGCGTCTGCCCCTTCCTTCATGTGTCTCCTGATGTTTCTCCATCCCTCTCTAGATTCCCTTCTGTGTCTCACAGCGCCCTCATGTGTCCTTTGTCTGCATCTCAGTTACGTGCCTTATGTTTGTAGCCCTTTTAAATCATTCCTCCCAGGTCAGCTCCAGCCTCTTTGTCCCCAGCTCAGTGTGTGTGTGTGTGTGTGTGTGTGTGTGTGTGTGTGTGTGTGTGTGTGTGTGTGTGTGTGCTCCTCCAGCTAGTTTGAGCCCTTCCCTCTGTCTTTAGATATTGTTGTTTAGTTTTGTGTTTAGGTATTTGTCCTCCTCTGTTTCGGTTTTCCCAGTTAGATGATTAGATTCACCTGTCTTCCCTCCAGCCCTCACTCCACACACCTGCTGCCATTTTCCCTAATTACTCCTCCCTGTGTATTTAAGCCATGTCTTGTCTCTGTCTTGTGTCGGTCCATTGTGGTAATTCTGTCAAGTCTTCTCGTGTCTCTAGTGTGTGGATCTCCAGATCTCTATCTGGGTTTTTGGACTTTTGGCTCCCAGCCTTTTGGATTACTTTGTTTTTGGTTTCTCCTAAACTAAAGGATTTTTTAATATAGTCAACTCCTGCCTCGTGTCATCCTGGGTTACTGCATTTTGGGTCCTACCAACCTCCAGCATATCGTGAGACAGGGTTGGTATTCTATATTTAGATAGAGTATCACAGCTTATTGGTCATAATTAGAGGTAATATATATTGAGCTCTTACAGTTTTTCTCAATTGTTTACACACATTTTCTGGTACTTGAGACACAATGACCACAACATGTAACCAATTCACCAACCCCCTTAACCAATTCTGCTAAACTACAAGCACAATTCCGGCTTTGCACTCAAATTGCAAATCTAAAACACACTTTTTTC